AGATGTCCAGGTCCGTGTGGATATTTTGCAAGACCAAGTTTTCTGCTACCTCTTTTGAGAGTAGCATGGAAACCAGATTTATTATGGAATTTTAGTATTTTTAGTTTTCTTTTTGAAGTGAAAATGGAATGGCAACTCTTGTGGAAAATTAAAAATTTTTTTCTCTTCACATTTTCCTTACTAATAATTTTCCCTGTGTCCTGGAAAAAAAAGAAAGTTTAACCCATTGCAGTGTTTCAGAATCTGAAGGAAGCTTCTAATCTAGAGGCTGAAAAGGATTTTCAGATCTACAATGTTTCATTAGAAAAAAAAAATGCATGTTATTTTGCTTATATTTCTAAAGAGAGTTTTAATCCTTCTTTTAAAAAATGTAGGTGGATATGGTGGCATGTGCCTACAACTCCAGGTAGGTCAAAGCCTATTTCAAACATTTTTTTAAAAAATTGAAAGGTCTGGGGATGTAGCTCAGTAGTAGAGCACTTGCCTACTAAGGTTCTGGCTCCAGCCACACTGCTAAAAAATAATATGTGAAGAGTAGGAGTAGTAAATGCAAGCCATTTTCAAGACGAAATAAGTGTTAGTGATTCGGAGTCCAAATTCCTCTTTGGAAAGAAGGAAACTGGGAGTTGAGAGTGGCTGAGACCAGATATATACCTGCCAAAACCCATACAATTCTGTGGAAGGTTTTTAATTTTTGTGGTCCTGGGGATTGAACCCAGAGCCTTCACACTGAACTCCGTCCCTAGCTCTATTTATTTTCTATTTTGAAACAAGGTCTTGCTGAGTTGTGTAGATTGGGTTCAAACTTGTGACCTCAGCCTCCCACGGTGCTGGTATTATAGGCCTGTGCTAGCACCCTCAGCCCAGTTGTTTATTTGAAATTGCTGTATTATAAAGAATACATAAACTAGACCTTAGCTATATTAGGACCACCTGCACAGCTGGAAAAGATAACCTGAGAGTGCTTTAAATATGAGAGTGTTTAATGCCTGTCAACCACAGGTCTGTACAGGTGAGGCACAGCTTACACGGCGGCACCATGCTGTCTTCAGGGACATGGATTACCATCTTTTATGAACACTTGTTAACTCCAGTCATTTCTTAGTTGGAGGGACCTAAAATGGCCCTAGTCTCCATGTCCATGTTCCAGGCTGAACACAGAAGGGATGTGAATAACATAAAGTTTTCCTTTGCACGAAACGTACTTTATAATCAGCCTTCTAAAAGCACATGTAACACTTCTAATATTATCCTGGCTTGATTTGAGTCTCATGGAAGTAACTATCCTCAAGAGAGCTTGGTGAGTGAGGTTGCAATTGCAGCAGAAGGCTAGGATTCATTTTCAAAGGAAAAGAAGGGTAATCAAGTAGAGTAAAAGAACAGCCCTTGGCCATGGTTAAATTGTATGGGGAAGATTTTAATGGTTTAGATAGTTAAATAGTCTGTTAACTGTTAACAGTTAATTGTTGAAACTGTTAAACTGTTGTTTAACTGTTAAATTACGTGGCTCTTTCACAAATGATGTGGGAAAATTGGATTTCCACATGCAAAAGAATGAAAGTGGGCCTTCACCTCAGACCATGTACCAAAATTAACTCAAAACTGGTCAAAGATCTAAGTAGAAAATCTAAAACTATTAACCTCTTAGAAGAAAACATAGGGGAAAGGCTTTATGATATTGAGTTCTGGGATTTCTTTGGATAACATCAAAATTACAAGCAAAAAGGAAAGAAAAACAGGTCAGTTAGGCTTCATCAAAATACAAAAAAAAAACTTTAATGAGTTAAAACACACTATCAATAGAGAAGTGGAAATATAGAGAGTGGGAGGAGATATTTGTATTTCATATGCGAGGTTAATACCCAGAATGTATTAAGAACTCCTACAACTCAACAATAAAAACAAACATGCTGATTAAAAAATGGGCAGATGATTCAAATAGATATTTTTCCAAAGACATTTTACAAATGGCCAATAGATTCATGAAAAGATGCCCAACATCTCTAATCATTAGGGCAATGCAAATTGAAACCACAAGATGATGCTATTTTACATCTATTGGGATGACTATTATCAAAAAGTAGGAAATAGCAAGTGTTGAGGAGACTGTGGAGAAACTAGAACTCTTGTACATTGCTGATGAGAATGCAAAATGGTATAGATACTATGGGAAACACTATTGTAGTTCCTGAAAAAAGCAGAATGAGAATTACCATCTAGAATTTCCACTTTTGGGTGTACCCAACAAAGCTGAAAGCAGGGTCTGAAAGAGATATTTGTACATCTATGTTCTTGGCAGCATTGTTCATAATAGCCAAAATGTAGATGCAACCCAAGGGTTCATGAATTAATAGATAAAATGGGAGATTTACATATGATAGAATAATGCCCAGCATTAAAAGTAAGAGGATTCTAATGTGGATGTGGTTAAAAGCATTACATGAAGTGACACTGACCAGTAATAAAAGGATGTCTATTGTACGATTCACTTACAGGAGTCCCCAGAATAGTCCAATTCGTAGAGATAGAATGTAGAATGGAGGTTCTTTGGGCCCGGGAGAAGGAGGCAGGGAGAGTTATTGTTAGTAGGTACTGAGTTTCAGTTTGGGAAGATGAAAAACTTTTGGTGATGGATGGTGATGAATAGTTGCACAACATAATGAACGTACATAACACCACTGAACTATTCACTTCAACATGGTTGTAATGGCACAATTTATGTTTTGCAACATTACCACAACAGTAATTTAAAATAAAGAGTTTATTGGCCAAGAGGCTAGTGACTCAAAGCTGAATTTTTGTCTGGGATCCGGTACAGATAATTCTTAGAGTGGGGAGAATGCATAAACTCCTCCAGTTCCATGGAGAAGTGGAACACAGACCTTTCAAGTTCACCCCAAGGACAAAGCTTCTCATGTTAGGTTGCCAGCATTAGGGGAAGGAAGGGAGTGAAAGTGTGATCTAGATTTTACAACCATAATTCAGCCTGAAGTCGGTCCAGAAAACTAAAATTCATGGCAAGTGCTCTCACCTGCAAAAGGGGATCCAACTTGATTGTATCAGCTCCCTCATGCCCTAGCATCTCATGATGCCAGGCCAGTGTTCCCTGGGCTGGGACCTCAGGACATAAATCTGTAGGATGCTGCTCATCCCCAGGCAAGTTGACTTGTATCCAGCACTACCAGGAAAACATGGTCATTGGTCTCATTGATCTACAGAGGGTCACCTTTTCTTTTCAGGAGGCAATCATAATAATAGCTTCTTTTCTAACTGCTCTTCTGAGGCATGAGTGTGATTCTTCTTTCATCATACAGGATTTAATGTTAATTCCCAAGGGCTGGGCGGGATTGTAATGAGCACATGGATGAAATGTGGCTATATGAGTACTAAAGTTGGGCAGAAAATGTGTGGAAGGCTGCCTTGGCTGGAGCCCTTCTAAAGTGTCCAGTTACCGAGAGGCCATTAGTGGATGAGAAGCCAAGCTCTTAGGGAGCCCAGATCCTGGTGACAATCCCAGGCTTTGATTCCTCCCAGCCCAGGTACCACACATGGTGAAGATAGGAACCTCAGATGGCTCCAGCCCCCAGCCATAGAATTCCCTCTAACTCTGGGCCATTGGCTCAAGTATTTGGCCCATTGTTCCATCCTGGAGCATAGTCAAGCTGTCTTGCTTGCTATATCTGCGTTTGTAGCCTACAGATCCATGAGTGTGAACAAATCCTCATTTTATAAGACTGAGTTGGGGATTGTTCACTATGCAACAATAGTTAACTAGAGCACACACAGAGGAAAAATTCTAAAGTCTTACAGTAAAGCAATCTGCTTATCTTCATTTTACCAAGCATATCGTTTGACAATAGATTTCCCTTTTCATATTTATTAATATTCCTGAAGACTGTATGTCTCTAAGACTCATTTTAGAAATGCTACCTCAGCCTATGTGACAGTGGTTCAAAATGCGGAGTATGTGTTCAAAACGTGAATTTCACATGTATTTTTGTCTACATGATAACAACTGAATGCTTTACATATTTAAAACAACTCAATTTAGTTGAAACTGTTGAGCTAGGAGCCCATCCTAAGTATAGTTAAGAATTACTATGAAATAATTATTTGACATATTTTAATATGTATAATTTCTGGTTATATTGAAGGAGGTTGATTTTCAGCATGGTTAGGAATTACAAGTAGTGCACCTCAATTTCCACAACTGGGATACGGAGCTCTAACTTAAGAATTGAGTGCAAACTGCCCAGGAGTTTGAGTAAGTGTCAGGATGTAATGGTCACTGACTATGTTACCACTTGATTTTAGGATATACAAATCTCAGTGCAAACACTGTTATTAGAGTCTACTTATTGCAACAATATCATTGGATGAATCTAAAGTCAATATTTCCCTATCCATTAGTCACATTATAGAATAGCAAGTAGAAACCAAGAAAGAATAAAGAATGAGGAACAAAAAATAATGAAGTCATGGCATTAGAATTAAAACAATCTTAGCTCATCCTTGTAGATGTAAGTATGGAGAAATGAATTTGTGAGTCTTGGTGCTCAAACTGGGAGCATGGAATACATGGGGATGCTTAAGAATTGTTTTTAGAATTATTTTCTGCATAACTAAAGCATGGTGTTGAGGTATGACTGCAGTCCTAATGCTTCTAGAAAGCGATTTTCTCTTCAGAATAAACCAAGATGTCTATGTTTTTGCTTATCCCAAGTAAGATTCTGCATAAAAAGGAAGTTTACAATTTCCTTCCAAGAGGTTATAAACTTCCTTCGGATAAATACAGCAACCCACTGTGTCATCTAATTGCAGGATGTTGTTGGCATGGCAACAGGCCTGAGGGACTCAGCTCGAATGCTGTCTTCCTTGTGACATCTACCGTGGGAAACCCCACATCTTTTGGCAATTGTTCACTAAACTTCAATTTGAGGCTCAATAAAGAGTCCATAAAGATCATTATAATTACGAGCAAGTACTGTCACATTTGGGGCCACATCTGGTTTTCATTTCTTTAGCTTGGCCCATAATTTGAGGGGCGCCAAGTGGTCCCAGAAGAGTTTCAGACACTCCCTGCGGTGGATCCTCCATCTACTTTTTGATACCCAGAGGAGAGAGGGACCCAGCCATAGAGATGTTTTCCCTTCAGGTGAGGCTGTCAGATCTGGAAGATAAAAATGCAGAATTCCCAGCTGAAGTTGAGTGTCATATCAAGAACAAATAATTCTTAGTATACTCATGTCCTATAAGATATCTAGAAGGTACTCACTGCTTTTCTTTTATTCTTGATCTGAGCTTCAAATATGACTATATGTGCATGTTTTGCTGGCAATCCTACTTTTGCGATGAGATGGAAAACAAAATCCAAGCAAGCCCCAGTCATAGATTTAAGTGGGATGTCAAGGTTCTGTGCAAATGTCCAGGAGAACATGGGCAGTAACTGCTGCCTGCTGGACTCCTGAGAGCCTTCAATGAGTGGGATAGTCCATGTGCTGGGATCCAGGGCTTCTCTGCTGTGTGTGTTTGAGGGGGGGTCATTTGCATGTCCACGGTGGTCTGGGATATGAGAGGTCACGTAAGGTACAGCAGAGCCAGACAAACCAAGCTGTGGAGTTGCCTTGCCCTGCCAGTGACACAGCTTCCTGTTGCTGGTCATCCCCTCCATCAGGGCCTTTCTGGATCTCCACAAAACCATGCAGGAGCCAGAGCAGTTCTGGAACTGGGTCTTGGTGGTGACATCAAAAGGATTTGTTGAGAGTGACAGAATCCACTCTCTGGGATCATGAGGGATAGAAGCCATGTGCCACATGTGTTCCACATGAACATGAATGTGCCTGTGACATGCTGGGCAACGTACAGGAAGCTGACAAGTCTCCACTTCCCCTCCATGGGCAGGCTGGTGGATGCTCAGCTAGAGGACATCTTCTCTTAGCTCCATGGGGCTCATGCAATTTGGATCAAGGATCTCAAGGCTCAGTCTTCTCTCTTGTACCTAGTGAGAGCTAAAATATGAAGTGTACTTGGTGCTGCGGAGCAATGTAAGGCCTGTTGCCGGGGTGCTGGGTCCTGCTCTGTATGCCCAGGCTGGATGGACTTGGAGGCTCCTGCGGGATGTTATGGGGATTAACTAAGCCAACAGTTGGTTCTTAGAACCAGGTGTGATGTGGGGAGAGGGCATTCATAAACAGTGTCCCTTGGCAGCACCCGGGCCTCTTTCCACTCAGACTTCAGGGTCGTGTGGTTCTGTCGACCACTGCTGCTGAGAGCTTCCAGAACATTCTAACAACTTTGATTAAATACTTCCAGCTGAGGTGCAGGCCACAGCCAGGTTGAAGAGCTCAGCAGGTAATTCTAATATCACTTTAATTATTTCACATACACATATTTATCACTAATACAGAAAGTGTGTTTTATATATTTAAAACAAACCTAGCAAAGCAGTCTCAACAGAAACTGCTTTAACTAGTAAAGTTTATGGCTTACCAAGCAAAGAAAGAAAGAAAGAATAAAACACCACCTAATAATAACAATTAAAGATATTACACTTGGCTATTTTTACACAAATTCCACCAGCCCACTGTTACCAATGTTCAACAATTTGTTTATGACTTAATGTGTGCTAATGGCTGCTGATGCCCTGGATTGCAGAGATGGGAGGAAAGGTAAAGAGTTACAGGTTTGCTTAGGGTCAGGGATGGAGGAAGCCATGCCCTGGGGCTGGGTTTCAGCAGTGTCCCAAGACATGTCTGCTGTACATCAGGCCAAATAGGACTAAATGTGTTATTGTACTTTAAAATGCACTGTCACACTTGGCATGTGATAGTCCATGTGATGTTTTGGGGGTAAAATTAGGGTCTTGATTCTCCTTTCCTTTTCAAAGACATGAAATTATTTCTAGATGCAGAAATCAAGCCCCTTCTCAGGACTGGTCAGCTGGGTGATGTTTGGATTTTTTCTCCCCCTTCCCTCCCAGGGCCAGGTGGTACCAGGGAAGTATAGCATACTATGTTGCCCAAGGTATGCCATTTGAGAAGAAGGGCTATTCTGAGCTAAAGACAATTGAGAAGCAGCACATGTGAGAGATATGTTCCTGTTTTAGAAGGAGGTCCCTCATATACCCCTCCACACACACACGCATGGCCCTTTACCTGGAAACTAAAACTTTGCATTAACAAATATTGGGTTAAAGAGGAAATACAAAAAATAGGGTGAAACCTCAGTATTTCCAGAAAATTAATGTATTGTAAACAAAACAAACCATAACCTATCTGATGCAGCCAAACTGGGCTCAGAGGAAATATCACTGCAGTAAATGCCTATATCAATACAAATGGAAGTAGATGAGATAGACATTCAATTCAAACATCTCAGAAAAAAATAAATCCAATGAAAGTAATCATGGAAGAATTTTTAAATACTAAATATGGAGGTTTGCAAAAAAAAATCAACAAAATAAAATAACATACCTCAGTAAATTTTCTGTAAAAGAGAACGCAAATTTATACATTTAAAAATGATAAGGGGAAGGAATTTTTGAGGCAATTTTATGCAGTTCTAGGCATGCAGGGAGGAAACAGGGTGATTCTAGTGTTGTTTTTGTTTTGCTTTGTTTCTTCTTTCTGAAATATAGTATTTGTACCTCCTGGTATAGAAGGTATGAGGGACAGCTTTCTAAAATCGAGGGAATCTCCTTCCCTCGATTTTCTAACCCCTTCCCTCTACAAGGTTCATCCTGAGTGGTCCAAGCCAGTGGTTCTCACATCTGGATGAGGATGGAACCAACAGGAGGAACACTCAGGCCCCCCCAGAACAAATTATTCTGCATCCAGCAGGGCCCACAGGCCACCATGGGCTGGGAAGAGGCCAGGAGCAGACCTGTTCTGGCACTCGTGGAAGGTGCAGGCCCCGTGGACACCCTGATCTTGTACTTCCAGCCCCTAGAACACTTGTCTGACAAGAAGAAACTCTGTCAACAGCTACCAACCTTCAGCTGGCCATCCAGGCTGCAGAGCAGGATGGGTCCTGGCATCTTAAGTCTCCAGAAACATGGATCTCACCAGTCTGCCAAGCAGAGCCCAGCACCAGCCAGCAGGCAGGGGAAGCTCCCAGAGGACAGCGGCCTGTCATCGGCAAGTGACAAGGGGCTGTGAATCCAGTGACATGTGCTGCCTCTTTCTGCTCTTATTTCATGTACAGTCTGAACAAACCCCCCTCTTTGAGGGGTTTCATTTCCCAAATCTTGCAGGCACATCGGCTTGGTTCTGGGTAGAAGTATCAGCCATGGCTTCAAGTTGCCACTCTCCATGTTTACATTTTCATTGCTTTTAAAATAAGAAGGAAAAGTCAGTTCTTTATGGTTAGCCTGATGTCGGCAGGGCAGTGTCAGCTAACTGAGAAGGAAGACATACAAGAAACTATGGGCCATAGTCTGATCTCTTTCCTGGGCTGTTGGAGTAAAGACTTGCCTCTCTTTCTTGCATTACGTTTTCTGCAGTACTGTAGAGGAGCTGAGGAGGTGTGGGATAATAAGGAGTGAAAAGGGTGTAGTAAGGAGGGACGTCACTGGGTATGATAGAGTACTATTTTCGCAAAGGACTTTTAGGAAACCTTTTATGATGAAAAAATCTCAAAGTCATCGTAGCAATATTACACACCTCTATATGCCCATCACAATCTCAAAAACTACTAATACTTTCCTATATTTTTAGTAGATTACCTGCCCCTTTTTGTAACTGGAGAATCACTCAGTTTTGCCTACATGAAATTGAAAATGAATGTACAAAGACACTGAGGACATTTCATAACCACTTACATCACTTCATAATGCTATTATAATGCAAATTATATTCATATTTTCTTGAGTGTCTTCAAATGGACTTTTATGATTGGTTTGTTCAATTTTCCTCCTTTCTTTCCTCTCTTGGCTTTGACTTGCTAAAGAATTAACACCAGCTGTTCACCAGAAGGTCCTGCATTCGAAGGTGACCAATGTCTTCATCATGGAACCATGTATTTTGTAGCAGACTCCCATTTTCTGTAGGCTGGAAGTTGCGTTTCCAATGCTAAGGTCACAGATTAACTCAGTTATTTCACTTGAAACTGTAAAATAATGGTCTTCTTAGTTCAGTCTTACCTTCTTTATTATTGATGTGGGATTTTCCACTGAAGAGACTGCTCTATTCCTGAAATATAGTTTACATCTGCACAAATAGAGAAATGCTTAATCCTTTCTATTAAAGAGTTTTCTGTCCGATTGCTTCCAATTGTATCCTTAATAATGAATTATTTCTTTTAGTTTGTATCATTATGGATTCATGGATTTTTATACCTTCAATATACTTTAATTACTTACAGTCATTATTAGTTTTATTGCTCAAACTATCCATTTTAGCATGTACTAGTCCCTTCTAGCTGTTTCCATTGTTTTTTGCTTAGTGGAATGAATAGCTCCCTAGTTTTGGGCCAAGAAAAAACAAATCAAAATAAAAACGTTACTGGGATGATTCAGTTTCCTCTCTGTATCCCTAGAATTGCATAAAATTGGGTCAAAACCTCCTTCCCCATATCATATTTAAAGGTATGAATTTATGTTCTCTCTTTTACAGAAAATTTACTTAAGTGTATTATTTTATTTTGTTGATTTTTTTGCAAACCTCCATGTTTAGTATTTAAAAATTCTTCCATGATTACTTTCATTGGCTTTTTTTTTTTCTGAGATGTTTGGATTGAATGTTTCACTTACGTACTTTCATTTGTATTCATATAGGCATTTACTGCAGTGATTTTTCCTCTCAGCCCAGTTTGGCTACATCAGGTAGACTATGGTTTATCTTGGTGAATATATTTATTTTCTGAACATATTGAGGTTTCATTCTATTTGTTGTATTTCCTCTTTAACCCAAAATTTGTTAATGCAAAGTTTGAGTTTCCAAGTAAAGGGTGTGTGTGTGTGTGTGTGTGTGTGTGTGCGCGCGCACGTGTGTGTGTCCTCTATTTATTTCCTTACTCTGGGTTTCTTATAAAGGAGACCCCAAGTCAAACCATTTGGGTGCAAGTAGTATATTTGGGATGTGATTCCAGCAGGCAGTGAGAGGGACTGGGGATGTGGCACAAGGCTAGAGAGTGTTACCCTCTATGCCACAGGACACAGTTCCATGGTGCACCCTTTGAGGCATCATGGAGGACCTCTTAATTTTAGTTTTATATGAAGGTATCAAATCAGGACCAGTGAACAGAAGAGACACATAGGGTATCATCAAAGAGGGGGTCCACATGTGACAGTTCCATGTCCTTAGTACAAGTCACACTGTGGGCACATCCATGTGTATAATGAACCAGGAAAGATCAGCTGACCTGTGGTGTCCACAGTTCTTATTGAGGTCTCATTACCTAGGCCTGATGTAGCCATTGGCCAAGAGATCTCCAGCCAAACTCAATCTCCAGCCTCCCTTTCTCCCCAGAGGTTGAGCTGATGCCCCATGGCCCAAAGCCCTAACCCATCAGTCCAATTTTTGGACTTTCTAGGCAGCCATATTGAAATTGTCTAGGCAGTCATTGGCCTGAACTCAGGTGTGACCCCAGGAGCCCATCATGGAGAACAAAGACTCCTAGCACTGAAGAGATTTCAAGGGTTTGGAAGATGCCTGACCCTAAGCTATGGACAAAGACCAAGCAAATTCTTTAGAAAAAAAGGATCCATACTCTTAACATGTCTCATCTGTAGTATTCATGTTGACCTATAAGACCAGGCTGAGGTAGTCTTTGTCATGGTTCTCCACTCTAAAGTAATTCTGTTTTCTTTTAGCAAGAGAAATGACAAAATGTATGCACTTGCCAGGTCTCAAAGAAAATAGATGTAAGGTTCCCCTTTTGTGTACTGTGATCTTTGGAAATGTCCCTCGTTCATCCCACAGCTAAGGAGTTAGGACTAACGCTGCAACAGCTTATAAAGTAGCTACATCAGTTATTTGCATTTCTTCCACATGGGCAATTTGTCTTCTCGATTTATTTATTTATTCAGTCAACCATTGATTTATATCAGGATGAACTCGTGGATATTTATTTTATGCTTTGGATTATAATCCAGTGCTATTTATTTATTTTGTGGTTAAATTCCTTCAGCTTTAGCCACAGGGAGCACTTTCAGAAGGTTTCTGTGTGTCTGACATATCCTCATCATTGTGAGTGTGTTTTAGAACTTCCTTTTCTAATAGTATGACATGCTCCAGGTTAACCTGATGTATTTCCTATAAATGGAGAATCAGCTATTTATCTGAGGGGCCCTGTAGACTTTAATGGAAAGTGGAGAAGATCTGGGAAGTGGGATTTTTTGTTGCCATTAATGTTTCTCTTAGCTGATGGAGTCAGAACATGTATGTGTGCCTACTAACCCATGTATAGACATACATATATATATCTGAATATTCCTGCATGGGGCCAGCTATGTCTATATTATTAACCAGCCAGGAGCTCATACCTGCATCTCCAACTCTAATCAGACACCCACTCCACCCACTTCCTCCTGCTGTCTAGGCCCACTCTGAGGGGAACTATCCTCACTTGCCACCCACTTAGTTCAATGTTCAATTCCAGTGTTTATGAGTGAAGGCATCACGATTGCTAAGCAGTCACCTGCTGTGGCCTGACTGATAACTGGCACACAGTGCCTTTCTTAGCCTTCAGCCTCACGGATTCTGCTACTGCAGCCAGTAATTTTCCTGCATTCCCTTCAAGCTCTCTCTACATTCCTAGCAGAGGTAAATTGTTTGGTCACAATCTATGCTTCATCTTGATGGCCACAGGGCTCCGAAATGATTTCCTAATTTTCATATACTCAGTTTTCCTTCGTGTTGTGGTAATGCATGCTTTGATAAATGAATTGTGTCATGTACCCATAGTTACAGTATTGTACAACACAGTATGATCTAAAAATCTTAGACTTCCCTGGACTTCAGCTGTTTAGTCCTCCAAAACCCTCTTAACTCCCCAAAATTGGTCATTTACCATTGATATACTTATGCCTTTTCACAATACCTTAAAATATGAATTATATAATAGGTAGGATTTTCAGAACTTTTTCTCACTTGACAGTATAAAAAGATCCTCTGTGTATTTTCATGGTTTGACTTTTTACTACTCAATAACATTGCATTGTATGGATAGATCACAGTTTCTTTTTACTTTTGCCTTTTGAAGGATATTTAAACTGCTTTCAGTTTGGGGAGATTTGAACAAAAATGCTAGAAACATTCAGATTCAATGGACATACACATTTTAAATCAGGTAAATAACAGAAGCCTGGTTTCTGGATTTCATATTAAGGCTGTATTTAGGTCTATTAAAAAAATATCAAACTGTCTCCCAAAGTCCTTGCCTTAGTTGCTTTCTGGTTGAAGAGACATGATACCTGACTCCCACAGCTGCAAGGAGAAAAGGATTCTTTTGGATCACAGTTTGTAAAGGTTTCGTTCAACAGTTGGTTGGCTCCAAGGCAGGGTGGCATGAAAGGGGAATGAGGGAGGAGAAACAGTTGGTAACATGGAGGCAGGAAACAGAGAGATAGATCAAGGGAGGAGGAGGGAGATAAACCCTTCCAGAACACACCCTCACCTCCTCCAATCACGTTTCACCTCCCAACATCACATTTAGTTATAAACTCATCAGTGGAGTAATGCATGGATGAGTACCATGCCCCATGATCCACTCACCTCCCAAAAGCCCCACTTACGACATCTAGATATAAACCACAATAGTCCTCTACCAGTTTGTCTTCTCACCAACAGAGAGAGTTCAATTTGATTAGTATCTTCCACAGCATTTGGTATTGTCAGATGTTTTTATCTTGGCTATCTTGGTGGTGTGGTTTCATTGCTATTTAATTTGCAGTTCTGTATTAACAAAAGATGCCAAATATCCTGTCACATGCTTATTAACCTGCACTGTATCTTCCATATTGAAATTTATATTAAGATCTTTTCTGTTTTGTAATTGGGTTGTTTTTTTATTGATGAATTTTAAGAATTCCTGAAGATGAAATCTTTTATCACATATTTTACAAGTATTTTTCTCAGTCAGTTTCTTTGTTCTTTACTTTTTTGCATGACTTTTGCAGAAAAGAAATTTCTAATTTTAATAAAGCATAGTGTTATGGTTTATGTCTAGATGTCTCCCCAAAGCTTCATGCAGTCATAGGGGGGGCTTTTTCATAGGTGGCTGGATCTAGAGTATGTGATGCTGGGATTGATTCGAGGTGAATGCTAGGCTCAAGGGCATTAGGATTAAGGGTGTCAGTGCTGTCCACCCTAAGTAGCCTGGCTAAGAT